AAAAGTTGGAAATGTTGGTTAAAGTTTGCAGAACTGTTATATTTTTTCCACAAAGTTTAGAATTTGGATGTATGTGTTTTTTTGTTAAATAGTGAGCCAGGAGTTTATAAAAAAAATATTAAACATTAAATAAACAAAAAAAAAATTAAAAAAAAAAATGTGTTATATTGGGGTACCTAATACTTTTGGCCAAGTGTGTAGTTTCGGGCCATTTTCAAATTGCAGGAAGGAAATAAAAGTGCCTTACTGTTTAATTTAAGTGTCCGCCTTAATGTTATTTGGAGATGACCCTAAATAAAATTACTTTTTTATAAATCTTTTTGTTTGGTAAATTTATTATTTAAATATAGTTGATAGCTCAACGAAAACTGTAAAACCAAGTTCTGAACTTTGTAGAAAATTTAGAAAAAATCAAATTTTCACCAAATTTATTAATGAAGCTTTATAGCCCATTTTAAATTCTTGTACATAAATTGCAAGCATTCCTAAAATTTTCATAAAATTCTTGTTAAAAAACTTGTATTTTGGGGACAATTTAATTTTTTCTAAATTTTCTACAAAATTCCGAACTTTGTTTTACACGGTTTTCGTTGAGCTATCAACTATATTTAAATAAATTTACCAAATAAAAAGATTTATAAAATAAGTAATTTTATTTAGGATCATCCCCAAATAACATTAAGCAGGACACTTAAATTAAACAGTAAGGCACTTTTATTTCCTTCCTGCAATTTGGAAATGACCCGAAATTTTATTTATTAATTATTTTGTTTGAAAGCCTCTAGAAATTTTTCGAGAATAGCATTCCGATCCCTTTCAATTTGCAGGGCTTCTTTGCTATCCTCTTTCAGCTCTTTCATTTCCAAAGCGATTGTTTGGTTGGCCGCGCGAAATTCTTCCATAAATTCATCTTGGAAATTAACATTTTCTTTTTTTTTCCTCCGCTTTTTCGGAGGTTCTGAAGAACATTCCTCCAGTATTAAAAATTCAGGCGAAGGAGAAGTTGCTTCAATTTCAGAGGGCCTATTGTAGCACTCTTCATCTACCACAACTTCAAGTGTCTCAACTGTAATAATTTAGAAAATGATAAACAATAAACACAGTGACACACACTCACAATTATACAGTGATATTTTTACAATATCCACAGTGTTTATCATTTGGATTGGTTCTTAATTTTTTATAGTTAATTATCTAACAAAAATCATGAAAATCCAAATTTCATTCTTTATTTAGAATTTCTAAAAAATTAGTATGCGGATTTGTAGCCAATTGAATTAAGTATAACAAAGTGCAAGTTCGAAGTTGCTAAAAATACTACATTCATGAAACATTAACGAAAAACATTCCAAAAGGAAAATATGAGGGCCGTTCCGAATCTCGTGCATATGCTCTTGAATTAGGATATTCGTTGCATTTGTAAATTCACAACAATAAAATGCAAACGGTTGCTATGGCAGCAATCATAAAATTTGCTAATGCAATTCCAACTGCAAGTCCAAGACCATTTCCACAACATCCTGAAGAGCCCAATTGTGAATATTGTTAATAGATCACAGTACAACTTTGAGTGTGCGTCAGTGTATAAGCATAAGATTATAGTGCTTCACCGTACTAACCTGTACTCTCCTCCACTATTGCTTCCAAGTTAAAGGACTTGTAGCCGCCGAGGATTTGGTGCACTTTGTTGTAGTGCCCCCACGCAGATGGTGTGCCGCCTGAAGGCCCAACAATCTTTTTCTCATCTCTGTGAAATAAGAATTATATTTTTACAATTAAATTTGCATAGATGAAAAACTTGCCTATATTTATTGGTTAAATTATGTATTTTGACTTTAATTTCGTTTGCGGAAAATACAAAGCCTCTTGTGGCCATTTCCACTGCCATGTCCGCATATACATGGGAGTTTCGTTTGCAGCCTCGAAGTTGCGGCAACTTTTCCTCCCACAAATCCAGAAGAAGGTCGACTTCTTCTTTATGCCATTGCGATCGCTTCTTTCTGTAATATATATGCATTAATAATATTATTTAATAAATACTTTATGAGAAGTATGTTTACAAACCTCTTTTCTTTGCCGGCGTCCATTTCGTTTACTTTTTACTTTGACGTTTCTCCTTTACTTCGTAGTAATAATTATCGATAACACAGAAAACACAGAGTTGTATGGAGAAAACTATCGTTATAATCTGAGATTATTTTATAATTACAGATTAACGGGGGACGAATTTTGTATGGGTAATCTCGTAATTTAATTACGGATTAAGAGTTAATCTCGAAAAAGTAGATAATCTTCTTATATGTGAACCTAGTATAACACTGATATTAGGGGGTTATTAGAATCCAGATGGGAGCTTCAAAACTATTAAATTCGAGTATACACAACTCTGGAATACTTTATTTGTAACTTTGACTTTTATTTTTGGCTGAATAAATAAAAGGCAACAATTACCGATTATTTTCTGCTCAGAAAAATAAAAGGCAAATTTTAACTTTTATTTTTGCCTTAAAGAAATAAAAACCAGAATTATTCGGTATTATTTGCTCAAAATGATAAAAGTCAGATGTTTAAAAGTTATGGAGGAATCACAATCTACAATGAGAGATGAGTCTAATGGAACCTTTGAAAAAGCTATAACATTATTTCATCACTATGACTTTTTGATATCAAAAATTGTAAAACAACTTTTAATTTCAGTCTCTGGTAGATATATTATCGTGTACAAATTTTATATAAATTCAATAAATATCGAGCATTTAAAGGCAAAATATTGGTGAAAAATTTGCAATTTTTTTTTAATGCCAAAATGCTCGAAAACCGCTGGAATGATTTTGTTTTTGTTTTCTTTAATCAGAAATGCAGGTATTTTCCTTTCGTTTGGTATATGGGTGTATTGGTTGATATCTCCTAAGTGTGTTTATTTAATCAAATATATGGGCATAAATGCTTTTCCATACAAAATCACTGCGTCATTATTTTGTCTGCGTTCAAAAACGGAAACTCGCGTTTCTTATTATCGGCGATTTCTCTTTTGGTGTTGCCCTTTACATTCACACACAGAAACTCTTTTGTACGCAATTGTTGTTGTCAGCTGTGAATCGCCAACTTGAATTACTCAGACGAACGAGAGCACAAAGCGTGTTTCCCGAGTACGGGCGACTCGGTACCTGTCCCCTTTCCTCGTCGCTCTCTCCCCTACAAGCTTCGAGTTTCCGCAACAAAAGTTTTCGTGTCTGAACGTCGACTTTGCAAACTCGTGCATGTGTAAAAACAGTTATGTACAGTGACGGGCAAAACTGTAACATGGTGTAACACTTTTTACTTCAGCCATCGCTATCTTTCCAAGTTCTAACGACTTTCATACTTTTGTTGTATATTCTTGTTGGTACATCCCTACTCCCTCTCTCATAATGATTTGAAGTCAATGCAACAACAATAAAAAAACCAGCAGACAAAAATGTAAATTAAGGCAGATGTTACAGTTTTGCACTCACTCTCAGTTTTTCATTTGACAGTTATCTCTTCCGTAGTTGGAAGTCAAATGACTTTTTTCTATATTGTAATTTATTGAAGAAGTGATCACCAGTAAATAACATAGTTAATCAGGAACCA